AGCAAGTAGATGCAAGTAGGATTTGAAATCTGAGTGCATGACAGTGTACGATTGTACTATTAGTTTACATTAGTTTACTATATTGTACTAGTTGTGTTGGCAATTTTATAGGTTGTAGCCGCCCGCACCATGCCTCACCTTCCTTTCCAAGTATGAATTGTATTGTATTGAAACTCTAATAAACGTTATAATTTGCAATCAGCATTCGGATAATTGACTAGAACAGAAAGGCGCCTTTTGCATCACCAAGCATTCAGGCATGCCAAAAGTCCTTCCCAAGCTGTTGGAAGAAGCATCGCCTGAAGAGCGGGCAGATCGAGAGTTTGTTTTGAAGGCCGGGGAAGACTGCTATCTGCACAGTTGGACATGCGACATATCTTTCCAAGGACCCAAGATGGTTCAGTCATTTGATGTAAAGAATGAGCTAGAAGCAGCCAAACCAGCTTCCGTCTTCGATTGTCTTCAAGGTTTGAGACACTGATTGCACCAAAGGCACTTCGTCTCCGGGGCCCTGAACTGCGCCATGTGGATGAAAAACTCCGCCGCTTGGAAAGGTCTTTTTTGTCGAGTCGAGTCCATTTAAGTTTTGTCAGCCTTGCTTCTGGAGTCAGAATGTTAGCTGCGATGTTGAAGTTGAACTCATTCCTTTGGAGTCCCTGATTGACAAGACTTGACAGATCTTGACAGATGGGTCAGTCAACAGCTTGCATCATTCATAGTGTCCAAAACCAGATTTGTGTAGCAGTCTGAAACTGGATAATGCAAGCCTTCAGGCCCTGAGGAAAATCACAAGAGGATTAACACTTGTACAAGTCTAGGGATTGTTTGGACATGTCCCTGGATATGTGTAGACAGAAAAGGTTGCGTTGCTGCAAGCTGCAAACAAATCATCGAAACAAGGATTAGACAAAGAGGTCATCTTGGCAGCAGTCACACAGGCTGGGCAGGTTCGACGCTTGTGTTGTTCTGTTTAAATGGCATGATCCTTTCCAAGCAAATTCAAAACAAAAACACTGGACCAAGACTGTGGTTTCTTCTGTGTTTGCTCCACTCTCTCAAAGATAAAGATATCAAACAGAGGCACGTGTTTTAGCATGTACAATGTATATGCTGCAGTGTGCGAAGGACAATGTATTCCGATTGGGAAAGAAGAAGAATCGAAAACGGCTTATATAATAGCCGCCAAGATATACCAAAATCAACCACGTAACCTCGATTGTTTTGCAGGGATGTCCAGATGTGAAAATGGGCCTGCTGGTCCAGGAAGAGTTTTACAATTACAAAGACTTAGCAGTAGCAGCAAGAAGCTACTAGTAGCAGGGGCCTGGGCATGACTACTAGGAGCAAGGGCATTGCTACTAGCAGCAAGAAGCTATTAGGAACAAGGGCATTACTGTACTACTAGTAGCAAGTGCATTGCTACTAGTAGCAAATCGTGAACACTCTATTTTGGAGGATTGGATTGCCTTGGACTATGTCCCCAAAGAGATGCTCCAGGACCAAACAGTTGGAGGCAAATCTATATACATCCAAGAGTCTTAGGACACACATCACCATCCGTACACGTCCTTTTCCACTTGAGTTGAATTGTTAAGCAGGGTGCAATAGTTGCAAGCACAATATATGGCCCCTTCTTTGGAGTTTTTCCGAGGCTGAAGGACTTCTGGGATCCTTCCAAATTTACCAGCTTCTTTTCCCCAACACATCCCAACATCAACACCTAGGAGTCAGGAGTAGGGATAGGTGGCATGTCAGTTTTTGATGATTCGTCACAGGTGTTTGTAGCCATCGGATTTTCCCAGAAGGGAACGTATTCCTATCCTCGTAGTCCTGATGTTCCAGGCTAGAAAATCTGTGCAGGATCGCGATGTCATCCTGGCGGGTCTACAGCAGGACTGGGAGGCCTTCAGAGTCTGCAAAAAGCCAACACCCAGATTGTCTCACGCCGAACGAATACAGGCCATAACCTACGCAGCTGCAGACCTTCTTAAAGATGAGGAGGCTGGATGCGTAGCGTTTCTGACAGCCTGAGGCAACTCTTGAGATGGGGTACAAGACAAGCGAACACTTTGATTGTTTGCTAAGACCCGATGCAATCACAAGCTCAAGTGTCTTTGTTGGAACTCGCTGTTGCTGCTAGTCTCAGCACGCAAAATATCGCAAAAGATCACAAGAGTGTTTATATAATGATTGGATAAGTGATGATAGGGCCCTGGGTTTGAGGTCCTATACTGACATGTTGATGCTTTGATTCGGCATATCAATACAACATGTGCCTGGAAACCTGTCACGAGTAGCAGGATGCAAACGACAGGGCAATGGCAGAGCGAAGCACACCTTAAACGTGTGGAGATACCGATGGAATAATGCTGATCGGTTTGGTAATGTTTTTGGCTGTCCAAGCGTCAAAACTGTAGTACAGTAGGCGATGCTTTGTCCTGTTTGTACTTGTAGCTTTTGTGCTACATGAGGGGCTGCTGCTAGTTCTACTTCCAACAGTTTTTTACCTTTGTACGTTACTACACCTCCCAACAAGCCTTCTCTCAAGAACCACAGCTTGCTTCATAAATCCGACCCCAAGCGTTGAGCCCAGTTTGGAGATGATTAACTCACATCTCCACAGGTTGTGATCGGTGCGCTGCAAGGGTCAGCGATGGCCTTGCAAACGATTCCACAGGCAGCATTTGATCTATGATCTGCGTGTGTCTTCTGGAGCCACAATCCAAAAGTGGGGCCAGAGTCCATAAAACTAATGTCGTGATTCATCGAAAGGATATTGATCTCACTCTCACGCGATTTGGTTCATTTTGGAGTATATAATTGTGGTTCTTAGCAAATATTATCAGTGGGTGTGGCACAAAGTTGGCACAAAGGGACGGACATCAATGGTTTGACTCACCATGGCAGCCAGGAGATGTGGTTCGTCCCCTCGGTGAGAGAAGCCCTGCTGGACTCCCTCCGCCGAAACGTAGATCCGCTGAGGAACTGCCCAAAGGCGCAGCTGAATCTTTATGACAGGGAGGAGTGGAACCAAGTCTTGCTGAAGCTGTAGTCAAACTTGATTTGCTTGGCGTGCCTCCCATACACCAGCTGGGTTGCAAAACAGGAACACGGAACTGTGCTGGTCACCAAACTGCTTTTGGGGTTTGAAGTTTCTCTGGTACGGATGGGTGCATGGCCAGACTACCCAAATTGTGTTAATGAGGGACCATATGTTTGCAGAATTGGGGCCTATCGACTCAATGCATTGGGCGGTGATACTGAGGCAGAATATCCTGCTAGATCTTGGTAACAGAGTTGTGAAAACACTTTTTTGCTGACAGGTATTTCATCATCTCAAGCTCCAATTGGACCCCAACAATTTGGTGAAAGAAGCATGCTCGCAAAAGGTTCCAATCACTTGAAAAGGAACATAGACCCAAATTGTTCTGCAGTCAGTATTCAATATTATTCACAGGATCAGAGAAACAGCTCAGAATCAGGGAAACAGTTTTTCTTTAATTCACCTACACGGATGGCAAAGTTACAACTCGCTCCAGGCAATTCACAAAGATCCTGCCGTCATGCTTGAGGCTGGAGGGAGCTTCTTGGAAAGGAGTTTGATGTTGCAATGTTCGTTTTGTCTAGAGAAACCACGCACCCAAAGGCACTACGATTTGAATATTATTGTTAAACTGTGATTCTCTTGTAGGACATTCTTGTGCCACACTGTGCAGGACACTCTCTTCTGGGGCATGGGGCCCTCTTGCGTGACACTCTTGTAGGGAACCTTTTGTGTTGGACTGTTCCAGGACACACCTGTGTTACACACTTAGAACTCGACTCTATTTGTGACTCTCCTGTACAATGCCTTGTGCAACACTCTTGTAGGATGCTTTTGTGACGACATTCTTAAATTCTTGCTTGATGCTCGTGTAGAGCACTCTTGCACGACGCAGACATCAACACAACGTCGAGCCGAACACAACCCCAAAACCCTAGAACTAAACGAGAACCCTTCGGTGTACACATTCGGGCAAATAGATATCAATTAGACATTCGATTCTCTAACATTATGTTTCGTTGTGTCGTTGGTGTCCTCTCAGTCCTCCCTCTTGGGTTTTGTTCTGCTCAGCCGTATCTAGCAGGCGCTCAAGCTCCGGCCGAAATTTCTGGAACTTTGTGAACCAGAATTGCTGGCAGATCACGGTTTCGTGCTTTCTGCTGCAGCTTGGCTTTGCCTTTGCGAACAGTGCACATGCTATGAACAACATTCAAAGGAATAACATTACACTATTTTTTGTATTATATACGGTAATTATATACACATAGTTTATCATATTACCACATTGTGGAAATCATTAAAATGTTCAAGGGGTGTACGTGAAATTGGACAAGAAAGACTCCCCAAGACTGTGCCTTCGTCCAGCGGACAAAGGTGAAAGGCAATTGGGAAGTCTTGGAATTCCTTCCAAAGCACTTTGCTTCCGATAGAGAGGTGTGGAGAAGTCAGGAAGTGTTTCTGAATGGTTGGACAATTTTATGAGGCTCATGCTTTTGCAAACCTCACTAGCAGCAATCCAGTCTTGTGGTGTTCCCAGATTATTGTGTTTGTCAGCTGCTTCTGCACGAAAGCATGGTGATGCTCAATCACCTCAGTCAGGACTGAAAGATGACTGCTAAACTAAAGAACTCAATGGAAGGAGTAGATTGAGCTGATGCACACCCAATGCAACAGTCAGTAGCTTGATGCACTGGTTGCTTTGCAAATTCTACAGTTTGAATCCATTTTAAGACTTCTTCACAAACTGTCTAATCCATTCTTTTGTCCAGGTAGTTGCAGCAGCCTTGGCACAAAGCCCGTATGCATTGCGCTTGGCAAGTCAGGTCAGTGTTTGGGGGTTCCGGATTGTTGTTTCTGGGGTCCTGCCAGAGTGCAAACTGTAAAGGCACACAGCACAACGTGGCATGGTCATCATTGCAATAGGATGTGTGCTTTGATGCACGTTTGTGGCTATATTGGGTGGTATTTTGATGTATTTTGTCTCAAACGCGGGGTCCGTGTGCCAAAGCCAACTGCAAGGAGCTGCGTGGAGACAGAGATTTGGTGCTGGGCTGTGTACAAAAGGACTGGACCATAAAGCCTTGTTCTGTTTGCTGTCATTTTCAGCACGATACCATGTCCATTTCGCTGCCTTTTTCCAGTAGTTTGTTGAGAGCAGGCATTTGAGGACTTGCTGTAGTAGCCATGTTCAAGGTGCATTTCCTTAGAACAGTTTAGCTTAGCATGTGAGAGGCCAAATGTCAGTCACAAGGACCTTACAAACCTTATGTTGAGTTGAATAAAGACTCGCAGGGGTCTGGTGCATTGCGCTACGCTGCACCAGATCTACTTGCTGATCAAGAGGCAATGAGGGTTTAATGCAGCATTCCCAGTTCACTTGCTGCGAGGGCATGCGTTCACTTGCTTTTTCAGGCTTCACTCCAAAAGCATCATCATGTGTCCAAATCTGGAAACATGCCGTTGCCATGTGAGATCTTGGCAGCTGCAGTGCAACAAGATGTGCACTGCCTGCGTCAAGCCAAAGAGAACTTGAAGGATGACAAGGACTGCGCCGAGAGTTGCGTGACAGGGCCAGGCACTGCTAGACGGGCTATACAGCCAGACAGGTTGAAGTTCCAAGCCAGAGCTTTTGATCAATTTTGAAGACTGAATTGCTTTCAACCAGCTCTCGATTTGCATCTATTGTAATAACTGAGTCAGAATGCTTTGAGCCGTTTTGCAGCCGAGAAGTGCTGTGCGGCTTGCAACGAATTAGGTCCACAGATCCATTTCACAAATCGCGGCGTCAGGATCTCATTCTTCAGGCTGTGAAATCCAACGGCATTGCCTTGCAATACGCCTCTCCAAGGCTGCAAGATGACCTTGAGGTCGGGTGTGAACAGACAATTCCAGGTGATTCCGAGTTTGAATGAGAACCTATTATTATAAGTGTAATCATTTATATATATAAGTTAGTGTATTTGTGGTTCATGATGACAAATTCGAAGGATAAGAGTGTTTTTCTTGTGACAAGAGGATGTTTTGAAGTAGTTAATATTACTACAGTATATATACTGTACTCATTATATTCATTATATAGCAATTCAATAATATTACTAGATATATCACTATTATTTCATATAGTCATTACAGTAATAAAGACCCTCTCAAAATGAGGGGCCACACAAGTCATTCTAGTTTAGCAGGCACATTCTTTTGTTGTTGCCATTGTGCTTGCTCCGGATTAGGTATGGCTTGTTGCTGTTCTTCTTCGTCCTGTTCTCCTTCTTCACATGCGGTGACACCATGTGACACCAGTGAAACCTGCTGACAACATTCAACAACCGCCAGACAAGCCTTCCTCAAGTGAAATCATGGCTCAGGTGGTTTTAGAAGCAGTTGCTCAGCGGCTTGGCGCCATATTGAAGGATTTGGCAGGGCATTGTTTGATAGCTACAGATTGATGCAAATGGGTGCCATGTCGTTGATTCGACCAGTGTTTGCTTCTTTGCAAGTCTTTGTGTTTCCGTACATTTCGTTCATCCAGCTTGTTGGTTTGAGTCACGGCGGTCAAAATATGATCGCATGACATGAGTGCAAAGGGCGATGCATGGCATACTGCAAACATCTGCAAACACAAGTGCTCAGATTGCCTCAAACTTGAAGGTGTTTAGCATCCATGAGCTCAACTGACCGCCAAGGTCAGGCCATGCCTTGGAGTTTGCCTCCACAACACTGCGCCAGGAACGCCGCGTGGTGCTGGCAGCCGTGCACTGCAGCGGCCGAAGCGCAGTAGCCTTTGCCTCCAAGGTGTGGCAAGATGCTGAAAATGAAGAGAAGAACGAGGTGCTGAAAATGTAAAGCGATGCACTTGTTACTAGTAAAGAACGGCTAGTGTAGGGGCCAGATTTCTATCTATCGGTGTTTCCTAGTTGAGATCATCAAAGGAAGTGCCCAGGATAAAGTTCCAAATTACGAACAGCTGCAGTCGGAGTGTTCTTTTTCCAGCTGAATCTGTTGCGCAGTCCATTTAGTAAAGCGAAGTGGCGGGTTGTCGGGGACGGACGAGCGGCTGCGGAAGGGTTCTAAGGGGGCACTGAAGCGGTCAGTTCAAAACGCATTAAAGTACTGTTACTGTATATAAAAGTGCTCTACGGGGATGCTTCAGAAAAGTCATCAAAAGTACAGATAGATATTTCCAGAGAAAAGTATAAAGGTCGAGATTTCCAGAGGAAAGCAGCGACACGTTGAGAGACAAGGACCGTAAAGCGCAAGACTTTCTAGGGACAAGTAGCTCAAAGTAGAGACCCCCGAGTGAAAGTTTAAACAGAAGAGTTGAGTAGAGTGACAGTTTAAACAGATGATTAGAGATTTCTATCAAAGTTGTAGTTGTCTACAGGAGATTCTGTGGTGCGTTCCTAATGTGGTGGTAAAGTGACAGTTAAGTCAGTTAAGTAAGTAGGTTTCTATGCGATGACGCGAGGGTTTCCCGATACCTCAACGCCTCTTGACTTGCAGCCGGGTATGTGAGGTGACAAGTTGTGCACTGATGAGTAAAAAGACTACAGCCGGACCAACAGAATCCCAAGTGGTCTAGGTAAAGAGTACCCAGTCAAACGAGTGCCACGCACCAAAACGCAACTAATTCACGGAAGAGTGTTCTTTTTTTTGGCCCACCCTCACTTGGTTAAGAGGCGCATACTTAATTAAGTAAGGCTAGTAGCTTAAGCAATCTATTAGCTACTGGATGCAGGATAGCCATGGATAGCCCACGCTCGCACTTATTTGGTTCCTAGAATTTTACCGTAGGATATTGTTTACAATTGTTCAAGCGGCATTGCTGAACAGATTTTAGCAGTGGCAGTGGTGAGATTGTATCAAGGAGCAACTTCAAGCACTACACTTCACCACATCGAGTGATCATCACAGAGTGCCACTCTACAGTCCATCGCATTGCAAGCCACCACATTAAACTTCACCACGCTACACTTCACCCCACACTTTACCACATCACAAATTACCCGACTGCACTTTACATAGCTACACTTCACATCACTAATCACCACTCCACATTTCACCAAATCAATCAACACCACGCTTTATTTCACCACCCACAACCCGTCAGAATACATGTCACCAGATCACAAACCACCACATCAGATATCATCAGGTGGCCCTTCATCAACTCACATCACGAATGTCTTCACAGCGATCACACGTCCTCTGGATTCCTATGGCTTTATACTTTCTGAAGCTTCAAACAACCAAAGGAAAGACCATGATGGATACTGATATTGTGGTCCAGGAACTAACATCTAAAGTTGAAAGAGGTATGAGTTTGGAGAGTTTTTTTCAAGAATATATAATATGTGCAGGATTGTTTTTGTTGACCCCTCTTGCTTTTGAATCCGATGTTTGTTTGCTATGTCAAGCTTTTACAGGAGCTTCGCTCAGACGTAGAAGTGCTCCGTGCAGCGCGCGCGGGCGGAGGCTATGATGCGCCCTTTGGGATCAATTCTTTTACCCATGTTTGCCAATTTGCAACCCAATTGAGAAATGCATATTGCATACTCCCTATGGTGAGAAGGACACCGCGCTGGAATAATTTGCTGAAACTGGGAATGGTTGACTGTGTGAAGTGTTGGCCAGTCACCGAAAGGAAAGTAACGCGTGAGGCATTGGAGAGTCTCAGTGAAGTATTGTTGCATATGATCTTATGGGGTCTTGGTTTGCTTCGGGATGATGGTCAGAAAACGGAAGGTCGTCACAAGACAAGTATTTTAGAACGTAAATGCAAACAACGAAGGCTTGAAAGACTGGTATTCACCCTTTTTCTCAACCGAGTGAACTTTTGGCAACTAGAATATTGCAATAATTTGCAATACTAAAGATTGACATTTGCCATATTTGGTTCTGTTTCATGACTAGAATGCCATGTTTGGTTCTGTGTCCAGGGTGTTGACTGGGGTACAAGCGCCGCGTCCAGAAGGACATTGCTCCCAGGTCCAGATGATTTGTCGCCAATCTGATAGGTAGGGGGCCTTACCATGGTCGATCGAGTTTTTAGAATCCAAGTAAAATGACACATAGTTGATGCCTTTGATTTGCCCAAAGTCGACCATTTGCTGTAGATGTTGGCAGCGTTTATACCCCTGGCTTGCGCAAATCCAGTGCGTTCCTTCAAAGTGCCAGTGCCAGCTCATTTCCCTTTCGTTTTGTCAAAGCGCGGCCAGGTGTTCACTCTTTCTTGAAGGCCTGGGAGCAGACTGTGTTTTTTTTGCCGACACTCTCCAACAGTTTTGGAAACCCAAGAATGACAGGCAAAAGGATGCAGCACAGTTGGTGCAATGCTACCTGTTTGCAATTTGCTTTTAAAGACAGTCAGTCCATGGCCATGGTTTGCGTGAACCACAGAAATGAAATCGAAGAGAAAAAGAATCACCACGGCGTGACGGGTCTGTGTTTCAGCATTGCACGCCAGGCAGCCGCCAACAATGTCCCCTTTGGTGCAAAATGGAATTTGCCACCCCGGTGTTTTCCGCACCGCGGGATTACTTTTCCTGCTTTGGGCGAGATGTGCCGAGCGCACCGGGTTTTCTGGAGTTTAGTTGCCATTCAGAAATTCAGAGGTGTCGTTCAATCAACCTGAGCACATTGAAAGAACATCGGCATATGCCGCTTTCTGGTGGTTGGAACAGCCTGGTGCTGGCAGGGTCTAACTTCCCTTATGCCACAGAGATTGTGAAGAAACTCAACCAGGCGCATTTGACATTTTGGATGTTGGCCAGTGCGCAAATAGGGGCAGCTTTGTGTTTGTGATATTTAATGGCCACTGGATGAAATTGGTAATTTGTAGTTCGGGTTCATGCTAGTGACTAGTGCATCCTTCACGAAGAAGAAACTTGGTCCACGGACAGTTGGTTGCCTCCATGCAGCAGTTGCCTCCATGCCACAATATTATGGATTTGTTTTGGCGTTCCAGGTCCCAGCCAAGCTGATCATTGCAGCCTTGTTGGAAGTGTTGTGGCTTTGCCAGTCTTGTTCTCCAACCATCGGCGCATGCTCATGTTTGTGGACCCAAACCTTGGGATGATGTACGACTTCCCCAGACATTTTCTGGATCATTCAAACCCAGTATATTTTATCATGTGGTGTATGCATATATAATATAGATATTAGATATTTATGCTACTTTAAGCAGCAAGACATTAAGCAGCAAAAGCACGCTGGTTCCTATGTTTGTTAAATGTTGGTTGTTGATTCGCACAAGTCAACCGTCCACACATCATTCCTTTTGATGTTTGACCAAAAGAGGCGCCGTTGGATCTTTTGGAGGACTGTGGCCGACGGCCAAGACTGTCGAGTTTTCCGCAGGTTAGTGATGTTGTGAGCCAGCCTATCAAAGGCCTCATTGAAGACATGTCACTTTCCTGTGATATTGTCAATTTCAAGAAGTTTTGAAGGCCTCATGAAAGAGATTGAATTGAATTCTACACAAGTGTCATTTCACTTGTGGTTGTTGGGCAGAAGAGTTTATAGCTGTGCAACATTGCACATTGCTCACTACCTCCTGAATGCCCGATGTTGAGTTTACATATCACCGTGGTCAAGCTCATTGTGGCATTGTGGCGTGCATGCTCTTGGGATGTGCAGATGCATTCTTCCCAGGACAAGTGCTTTGCTACTTCACCTCCAGCCGATGCAAAGGAGAACCAAAATCAATATTTTGTATAATCACCCAGAAATATCAAAGAGTGACTAGATTCATTTCTTTCTCCCTAAAACTGGAATTTTGCGTCACACGCACACACCACTTGAGCTTGCTACAGGATGATATTCATAAGGACATATAAGGACTTTGTATTGCATCTGCTGAACCAATTGAACATGATTTTTTTTTATGGATGCTTAGTTTTGAAATTAAGCGGAATGTGTTTAGAGAAATCGGAAACAAGTGCGAGACAATCACAACGCCTTGGACTCCGTAAGTTTCGAGGTTGCATGCATTCTGCACTACCATCATACTGATCCACATTTTTGCCGCAAAATAGCTGAAGCACGATTGACCAAACTGCTGATGTAAGTGTTGCATTCAGAGAGGCATACAGCAGACAGGAGCAATCAGTTTAGTTTGCTATAACACGAAGCTGGCCAAGGTGGCCATGATGGGCCCATACCCATACAAACTATAAGCAAATGACGTGCTACAGGCAGATGCACTACAATGCGATCATGAAGCAGAACCGTTTGTTACCGAAGGGTTTGGCTAATCCGCTCCACACGTCCAAAACAATACCCAGTAGCTGCAATACCATGTAATACCCAGTATCATCCACTGATCTCTACATATCAAGACAAGGGAAGTTCCATTCAATGGAAGCATTGTTTCAAATGTTTTGCCAATTGTCCAAACCAACACTGATGCGTCTCAACGTAAGGATTCCAAAACCACCTGAGTGACATCGAGAGAGTCTCTCCAGGTAGTCTCATCGAGTAAGCAGCCTGACGGCTCTGAATTAAGCATCTCATCTACTCTTATAATATTTTATAGTATCTTATAGTATATATATATATATTACAATCTCTCTCTATATATATAATACCAAAAGCTGTACATAGCTCTACTATTTTGTACTATACGGTCTAATGAAATTGTGAAATTAGGGGACAGGACCAAGGGAGACCAAGGGAGACCTGAGTTGGAGTTTTCAATGTAACTGCTCTGGTTCACAGTTTTTTTCCCAACCTCTCACGCATTCACGCAGGACCGGTTGCTGGCCATCGGCTTCACTACCATTTTCGAATACCTTTTCTCGCAGATTTGCTGAATTTCAGAGACTGGGGATGAGATTTGTGTCTAATGGCCCTAGAAGCCAATTGAAGGACATGTGCAAGGTTATATTCACCTCGTGTGAATTTGAGCAATAGACATGAGTTGAAGTCATTTGATGATGACTGCGTTCGAGATTCGCACTCGCCGCGCTGCTCCCTTGTCCAGCGCGCTTGAGCCACAACATGTGGCCGCCTGTACTAGGCCTTGTGAGAAAAGGTCCCCTTTGCAACAGACGGAAACCTAGAGCGTTCCGCATCGACGGTGAACTCGGTTTGACTTCCTTTCGTGTTCCCGTGTTTTCACATTGGTAGCGGAGCTGCCAAAGAGCAGCTCCGGATCCATTTGCCGCCATGTCTCGATCCCCGAAGGGAAGCTCGCAAGCGAAAGAGCCGGCCGAGAAGGCCACCTTTGGAAAAGATGAAAGAAGCTACATCCCGCGCTTCGACAACACGATGACCGGCTACCGAGAGTGGCGCAAGAGGATCCTGCTGTTCGCCCGCCGCCAGGCGATCCAAGGAAGAGCAAATGAGACAGGTCTGTCAGTCCTGTCGATCTTGGAAGGTGCAAGCTGGCGCCAATGCGAGGACCTGGACCTCGACGCCCTCGAGAAGGACGATGGCCTCAAGAGCATTTTGCAGAGGCTGGACGCCCAATGGCAGTATGATGATCGGGTTGAAATGCCTGACGCATTCGAGAAGTACTTCTACAAGACGCAACGTCGAGTTGGGCAGTCGTTCCTTGAGTTCTGCACTGAGCACCAGCAGTCCCTTCGAGAACTTCAAAAGTACAAGATATCGCTCCCCGAGCAGGTCGCTGGTTGGCTGTTGTTGAGAAAAGCTGGCTTGAGCAAAGATCAACAACAGATGATCTACACACAGACCGGCACCGATATGTCCCTCAACAACATCGAGAAGTCCATGTACATGATCCTCGGACAAGACTACAAGCATGTCCACCAACCTGCAGTCCGACGAGCTCAGAACCAAAGCTTCCAAGGACGATGGAAATCCCGCCAACTCATCCACATGGCTGAGGACGATGAGCTTTGGGAACAGGATGACTGGACAGAAGACTATGAGCCCGATGAAGATGCTTTCTATGAAGCTGATGAATGGTATGACCAGGAGTACGACCTCGTTGATGACCCAAAAGATTTGGCATACCTCCATCACACCGATGAGGACACGATCTTCGACACCGAAGAGTACGACATGGCAATGGCAGCTTACACTGATGCCAAACAACGGGTGCTTGAACTCAAGCGCTCATGTGGTTTCTATCCAGTGGTTGCTATGGTCGACAAGAACCAGCTCCCCGTCATGGCCAACGCCAACAGCAGTTCAGGTGGAAAGAGTCCGAAAGGACGTGGGAAAAAGGGGAAATCAAAGTCCAAAGCACCACAAGGAAAAGGACCACAAGGAAAAGCTCGTGCACGATGCAATGGTATGTCACCGATGTGGCAAGCCTGGACACTTTGCCTCGCAATGCAAGGCAGCAAGCTCTAGCACTACCCCGACCTCAGCAAAGAAGAGAACTCTGGAGGAATCAGATCCTCTCCTCACTGGCATGGTTCTTTTTGAGAATGTCATGGCTTGTGAGAATGACACCTCTCCAAAGAATGTCATGGCTTGTGAGAATGTCACCGCCTCTGAGAATGTCGTGGTTTGTGAGAATGCCACCCCTCATGAGAATGTCATGACCCTTGTGAATGACACAGTCCAAGTCGAGTTCTATGACTGTGAAGAGTTCTTCGAATGCGAAGATGCCTACAGCAGCTCAGATGTCCTCGTGTCTGAGCATGAATGGTTGGTCCCTCCAGAAATGGCAATTCAGGATCAAGGAGCATCTAGTTTCCTGATCGGCGCGGAGTACATCCTTCGCTACATGGCTTGGTTGCAGCTCCTTGGCGTCGATCTCTCACGACTGGAGTTCAAGAAGTGCAGCAAACACTTCAAGTTTGGCGGAGACGCCAGTGGTCACGCAAGATGGCTTTTGTCAGTGCCCACCTACATCAACGGCAAGGCAGGCTTCATTCAGGCCTACATCATCTTCGGAGCCACACCTCCCCTCCTTGGGAGACCAGTGATGGAAAGGCTTCAAGCAGTTGTCGACTTCGGAGCCTACAAGATGCAAATCCTTGGCAGTGATTGGCTTCCAATCGAGAAAGGACGCCAAAACAC